TTTTAAATTCGCTTAGGTTAATGTGGTTTTAAGTAAGTTATATTTAATTTCATGCTTATTGTTACGTTTTTAAGCTTTCAAATATATTTGATGTTTTATTACTTGTGTTTGTTTATATTTATGGTTTCTTTTGAGTGTCTGTTCCAATGTACGTTTTTGTTGTTTGTTTTTAAAAGTAGAGCATTAAAAATTAAAACAATATTTTATTATTTTGTTACTTACCTTTATATATAAAAAAATATAGTGATTTTTTATTCAATCTAGTGATTTTTAAGCAAAACTTCTAGTGATTTTATTTTTTGAACCTGGAAACATTGCTCAGAGCCGTCCACACAGATCGCCAGAATAGAATACTCTGGCTAGTCTGTGATACTAGCGACTGAAACTACTACCATAATTATGTGCACGTAGCTGGATAAAAGAGGGACATCTGGGATTCTTCACACAGGTGCTGGGATCCTCAGGATGTTAAGCAGATAGTATATACAGGGTGATTCACAAGTCGTAATAAAAAATAAAACCATTTTAAGGGGGGTCTCCTATGTAACATTTTTTACTCAAATGCTTCATTAAAAAAATACGGGGTGAAGTTTAAAAATAAACACTCTAAAATGGAAAAATAAACCTTGACTTAACGATAACAACCGTATAACACATAACTTTAACAAACCATCTCCAAAGAAACGTCAAGTTGGTATCAAGGCCTCCTACTTAATTTTGAAACTAATTGTATCTCGGCTCTTCATGCATGATCTAATTTGTTTTATTTCTATTTTTACGAAAACAGTGCACTCTAGAAAAAACACAAGAGTAATTACTTGTAGCAAAGTGAAGGTAAAATTCGAAAAATCAAGCGTTTCGAAAAAAAAAACAGTGGCCTACTATTTTTATTTGGAAAAATAATGCCGCTAATCCCCTGTATCTTCGCCACTGGTGCACGTTAGTTTTAAGTAAAGACTTTTGAATGTAGACAATACTTAGGTAAATCCACATGCCAAATTTTAGTACATTCCCGTTGACGGTTTTGAAGATATTAAAAAAATTGTTTTTTATCGTTAAACTTCAACACCCCGTATATATTTAATGAAGCACTCGAAGAAAAAATGTGACATAGAAGACCACCCTTAAAATGCGGCTCTGTATATGATGTTTCATTTGTGGTCACGATTTGTGTATATTGCAAAATGACTAGGCGTATTTTTCCTTGACGGGATACCTGTATTACTCATTCATTCTTTTAACACCTGCACTATCAAGATTAGCTCAGTATGCGTTGTAAATTTTGTAATACGTGTTCCAACATCTTTCTCGAGCTGGTCCTGAGAAATGGCTTTAATTATTCTGAAGGTGGGAGACTCTATGGCATTCACGTAATCGACCCAAGATAGGATATTTCCACTCAAGGAAAGCTCCGCCCGGTACGTGAACTGATTCAAGCAGTCAGAAGGCAACGCTCAAATATACTAAGTGACATACAAATCCGAACACCCAGTTTAAATGGTTTTATTTTAATAAAATTTTGTAAAAGTACTTAATGAAGCATAATAAGTAAATGATAAAAATTTCAAAATGATTGCACTGCTTTAAAGCCCTTTGACCTTTAATAATGTGTGGATGCACCCTGATGTGCTATGCATTCTCCAACGCGCCTAGGCATGCTTCTGATCAGGTGGTCAATGTCCTCCTGTGGTATCTCATTCCAGGCAACCACCAACTCCTCTCGAAGTGCTTCTAGAGTCTGAGGAGGACGTTGCAAATTGAGCAATCTCCTACCCATCATATCCCACACGTGCTCAATTGGGGATAAGTCGGGAGATCTTGGTGGCCATGGTAATAATTTGACATCATTATGTTGAAAGAAGTCTATTGTGACTCTTGCAACATGTGGTAGGGCATTATCTTGTTGGAAAGTTGGATCTGAGAGGGTGTCAAGATAGGGTAAAAGATGGGGTTCTAGAACTTCGTGGATATAACGCTGCGCGTTCACGTTACCTCTGATGAAGATTAAAGGTGACCTGGAACCATAAGCTATAGCACCCCAAACCATAACTCCAACAGTGTGATGAACATGTCTTTCAACAAAAAACTGTGGATACCTCCTTTCACCACGTCGCCTTCTAACCCTGGCACGACCATCGTGCATGCCTAAACAAAATCGAGACTCGTCACTAAAGACAATACTGTTCCATTCCTGATCCCAGAGTGACCGTTGTCTGCACCACTCAAGGCGATTACGTCGGTGTTCTCGCGTTAAAGGGAGAACCCAGTGTGGCCGGTATGAAAACAAGCCAAAACTTCTCATTCGTCGGTAAACACTTCGCATGCCAATAGGTCTTCCGTGTTCTGCAAACCATTCATTTGCAATGGACCTGGTAGTGGAGAAACGGTCCCTTAAGGCCAATAATCTTAGGCGGCGATCTTCACGGTCTGTTGTTCTACGGCGGCGTCCAGTGCCCCTTGCTCTTTGCGTACGGCCTTCTCGAAGCCATGCCTGACAACACCAAACCACAGTGTCTACACTTCTTTGCACTCTAACTGCAATTGCCCGAAAAGAAAGTCCAGCTTCCCAAAGTCCCACTATACGGCCCCTATCAAACTCACCATGTTGACGAAATCGTACAGGTCTCCGTACTCTAGGCATCGTAACCGATCGTAAAGGATGTCAAGAACCAAAATCCGCCAACGTTGATTCTTTATTGCGGCTGAAATATTCATTTTTAGAGCGTTCGTGAATTAAAAAAAGCGGTATAAAAACCGGAATGTCCAACTGATAAGGCTGAAAATTTTTTCACTTGTTATTTACAGTAAGATACAAACATTCACCAACTTGTATTAAAATAAAACCATTTAAACTGGGTGTTCGGATTTATATGTCACTTAGTATATAAATTTTCAAAATTAAGCGTATATGGTAAATTTTGTTCAAGAAATCAGATCAGTCGCCGTGAGAAAGATATTTCAGAGGCGTTGGTAAATTGGTGGTACAGAGTGACGCAAAAGCAATGTCTTTAGCAGATAAAAATTATGATAGATGAAGTGGGTGTAGCTAAAACCAAGGTGGTCCAGAATCAGATTTGCACTACTGCTTGCAAATAAACTTCTGGACTGTACATTTCAATATTGTAAAAAGGCCCACAAGATGTGTGTGTGTGTGTTAAGGAATGCGTTCACGGAAAATTGCAATAGGTAGCTTGAATCCTTCTAGCCCTCGACGTAAGATTTAGTAAGCTGCATGTAATTAGTCATACAAGAAAACAAATGAAGAGGTAATCAAAATGATCCAGAGCCACCTCTTCATAACTATTAGCAAAAGAAACATTTCTCGGAGTTGTATCATTTCAATTTTGTATAAACCGCACTTAACTGTAACCCCCTAGCTGCATGTTGTCTCTTTTAGTTTCAGTGATATGAGTGGATTAATATAGCTGAAGAGAATGTTGCCTCCAAGAAAATTATGTCGCATATTTTTGCAAGGCTAAATCCACTAGAACCCCATTGGAAGAAATTTATATTAGCCCATACAAATAGAAGGACGACATTGATTTTGTTCCAATAGGACAAAGCCCAGCAATGCCAGAAACCGGTTATGAGCTTTACTATTACTTTGAAATGACTCCAGTGCTAACTATGCTTGGTCAGAGGCTTTCTGAAATTGTATTTAGAGTAATCAAGGCTACAGGAGGCTTATACAACGGGTACTATTTATATGAAAGTTTTGCAATATGACTTAACAAACGGACGCAGGAGGCTGCATGTTACTGCATGTTAAGACATATCTATAAGTGCCTAGTAGCCGCCAGCAGCACGTCTGTTGATTTCTGTTCATTCGTATTGACAGTGTAAAGTGCGGACTATGGCATCATGGTCACGTAGTGAGATAAGGGCAGTTTAACTTTACGCTCGGTTAAACATAGACCAGTGCTTAGAAGAAATGATGCTTGTATTAAACAATGATTGTCGTGATCGTACGACTATATTCAGGTGGTACAGAGAATTCCAAAGCTGTAATTTCACTGTGGAGGACGCTGAGAGGGAAGGAAGGCCGCGAATGTCAGTGATAGGGGAAAACATAACTGCTGTGAGGCAAATGCTTGACGAAGACCTGAAAGTGTCATACCATCAGATAGAGGAGACCTTACACGTTAATGCACCAGTAATTCATTCAATTCTGCATGACTATTTACACATAAGGAAACTTTGTTCTCTCTCTCATATTCTGACGGAAGAGTAGAAGACTCGTCGTACGACTTGGTGCCGAAAGATGCTGAAAATGTTTGATCAGGGGCAATCTCGGTATGTAAAGGCGCAAAACAAAGTTTGGGACTTTGATGATGCTGTCAGAAAGCTTGACATGCTAAGAAAAAAATGATAGCTGTATTTTTCTAATCGAGCGGGAAAAACCTGCGGCTAAAGTCAAGAATCGAAACTTGGTACCACCACCCTGACAACGCTCCAGCTCACCGCACCAAAGCCTGCACCGAGTATTTGACCATTACTACTAGACTGAAGCTTATGGAGCACCCTCCTTACAGTCCAGATCTTGCTCTCTGCGACTTTGCACTGTTTCCACATGTGAAAATGAAGCTAAAAGGATAACTGTTTTCTAGCGATGAGGACCTTCTGAGGGCTTGAGGCAACTCCTGGGTGAAACTTGGCAGAGCTGGTTTAAGGACTGGTTTTAACGGTTGGACAAGTGTATTGAATGTGGTGGAAAATGCTTAGAACGGAGTCAATAAATAAATCTGTATTGCAAAACCTTAATAGTTCGCTTTGTATTTAAATGAGGCAACATAGACAGACGGTTTGATTGCTGGTGTCAATTTACGATATCAATGCATTACAATAAGTGGCCGTAGGCCATCATGGTTTAATTAAGGCTCTATGAATTACTATATTAAAAACCCTGTATGAATGCACATAACTGTAAGATATAATTGTGTAGCTGCATTTGATGCATCTTGCCCGCCCCTACTCTAACGCATACCCCCTCCCTTGTATGTTCCAGCAGCACCCCCGCCCCAGTCCTTCGAGAAAGTCATCAGCGACTGCAGCGGCCGTCGCGGCAGTGGTGACCGCCTCGTCAGTTCCCGCCGCTTCCGCCGGAAGTGGCACCGGAACAAGTTCCTCCCTCCACCCGCCTTCAAGACGCCCGTCATCGAGCGCAGGCGCGGGCGGCACCACAGCCAAACAAATGACTGTTCAGTCGCAGTCGGGTGCGCATTCGAATAGGCCGCAGGAGGACTTGATAGCTACGGCCGCGTCGGCCTTGAGGCGACTGCATTTCAAGACGGGCAGGAGCAGCGGGATTCAGAAGAATGCGCAAGCTAAGCAGGTTTGTTAGAAGTAGTTATGGGTATTTACCAAGCTCTGGGATCAACAGTCTTCAAACATACAAAGTAAGTAAGAATTTCAAAGGAAGCAGCCCAGTAACTTCACTCTAAGAACGTACTCGGCACCCCTACTACGTAACTGAAAAAGACGTGGATAGGGATCTGATCACCCTATTTGTCCCTTTAGGACTAGCTATCATTCAGTTCATGCTCACTTGTATTAGCTGAGAGTGTTTCGTGCGGGAAATGGCATCAGAGGGCACTGTGAATGATTTTTCTCCTCTCTCTCATAAAGAATCCTGGATGTCACCACCTTTTGACCATTTATATAGGCTGGCAGATGCAGTGTATCCTTCGATACAGCATCAAAGACCTCTCGGCAACAAAGAGCGTACTGTTGGAGATGCTGGTATGCCGAGGCATCTCCTGGAAGCCAAGTAATTGGAGCCCTATTAGCTAGGGGATGCCGTGGTATTTGATACTGGAGCACCAAGGGACGGACGGTAGGAGAAAACATCGGAAATGATTTCCCTCGTCGGTAGTGCATACCGATACGAAAAATTACTCGCGATACCGCGAGTATCAGCCGACATTCCTCCAGCCTACGACACTCTGTACCTAAGCAATCAGGGGTGCCACGGCATCCTTCATCCTGCCGCAGCTGTATTACATGGCATGTCCTTAGATACTCCAAGAAGGGTTTTTTATTTCGGCATCGAATATCATGTGACATACCGCACCACAACATACCAATGAACACTCACCGAATTGCGATGGTTCAAACATTTTTCTCTTCCGGTATCGGAGAGCATGCCGTGAAATCTTGTGATGGTGTGTCACGGCATCTCTTGGCTGCTAGGCTATAGAAGTTGTCGCTCACAGGTTATCACAAGATGTGGAAGAACTCACACTGAATCGCGGAGAATTTTTTTGATGCCGTGAGGCAAATCCATTATACAAGCTCTTTTCTGCCACTTACTGGTGTATGCTAACCTATATTCAAATACCATGTGCGATGAGTATTTGGTGATAACTTGTGATTTGTTTTCCAGTATAGCATCAAATAAGCTGAGCGATGGCGCTAGCAGACTGTTAGTGATGATTATAAGTAGTCAATGAGGTACCAGAGCTTGGTGAATACGACCTATAGCATAGTCAAACCAAACCCTACATGAATGAATGCAAAAATATAAGCCACAGGAAAAAACAGAACTTATACTGCCCATCGGTCAAGTTTATACAATATCATTGTAAATTAAAGCAAAATTATTAGTCTTGTTATTAAACCTCATATGCAAGTGCAAGATATCTGCATACAAGAAGCATGACTTTGAGGCATGAACGCTAGATATGCTGGACGTATTGCTATAATGGCTCTTAACAAACCCGCATGTGAAATATAATTCACCACTGATGAGAAAAAGAAGATTGTAAATACAAATTCTATAATGCATAAAAGCTATATCAAAGACGGTGTATAGTGTATATTTTATTAAAATGTAATCGGGACGGATTTTCACTAATTTCAGGGAAATGTATCGGATGTGAAACGGTTGATACTGATTTGATTAGCTTGGCATATATTTTGCGTATATGTCTCTAATAAATCAATTAAACATGAATGTGCTTGTCATCCACAACTCATTATTTTATACAGCATATGAAATAATATAAAAGTTAAAAATAAATTAACTAAAATAGGAGTGATTGATTATTTCGGAGACCATAGCCGTCTACATCAGTTGCCCAAGGCGGGTATATCTCCAGTTCGAAAACGATTCTAGATTACAGTCAAACTAGACCCTTGATTTTTACCATTGCAGTACAAATTTCTAATATCGTTACGGTGGGTGTTAATAAAATAAACAGGCACAGTCAGTTTGAGGTTAGGAACAACTTGAGTGTCAAAATGACATTTATCTTTTGATCTAACAAATAATTACTGCGCAATATTTGCACCTTTCCTAGGCCTCGGTTAACTCCACATAACACAGATTTTACATTTAAATATTTGTGGAAGACTAGCTTCCTGCCGCGCGGTTTTACCCGCGGAACGTGTTGCTGGCACGACTAATGAGGTAACGAAATTTCTCAAGCATGCAAGTTGGCTGCTGATTTACTAATGCCATCAGAGATACAAAACGTGACGTGAAGTTCAGAGCGTTACTTGAAAGTAATTTTTTATGTTATTAACAGTTTCAAGCGTGCGAAGTCGCGGCTAACAGGTTGAGTGCGGCAATGAATGGCGGTACTGTTGCCGGCTTGACGCTGACGGTGGAGATTTTGACACTTGCAACGACAGTTGATTGCAAGACTAATGATGAGTTCGGGTATCATTTAGTAGGTGTACAAATTTTTATCTCTCTCCGTATTGTGGTTCAGGCGAGATGCCGACAGACTGGATTAACGATCACTTTCATATACAGGGTGTTTCAGTTTATTGTTGTATAACTTTAAGATTCGATATAACTTTTAAAATTAATGCATAAAGTCTATATAAACATGGGTCGAAAAATGCGTGGCTTCCGAAATACAGGGTGTTTAAATTTACTTTTTAAAATAGTTTTTTTAAATATTTAGAACAATATTTGATGTATAACTGTGAAAATTGGTATACAAGGGTTTTTTGGTACGACAAAACGAACCATGGGCGTTGTTTTACTGTAGCCGCTAGAGGACGCTCTCTACTGTACCTGTAGTGTATTAAAATGACCGAAAATGTTTTCTTAGTGCAATTTTTTGCTTTTTGAATAAAAAAACTGATTCTTCGCACTTTTCAACATAAAAAGGCTCTCTTGTGAATTTTCGTTATAGTTAGCCGTTTTTGAGATATTTCGATTTTTAAGGTTCGATGCATTTTTAATTATCTATGGGAAAATAATATTTTTTTTTACATTTTTGATTTGGGCATTACAAGTAATTAATATGATCGTTTAGATTGTGCTTTTAAACACAGCAATAATTCCTAACTCCAAATAAACACAAAAAACCAGAATATTAATTTGTTTAATTTTCCAATATTATTTTTAACAAATTAAATTAATTATTTACAACTAAAATGCTATTGGATAGTTAGGACAAACATACAAATCTAAAGTAGTTGCTCGAAATGTAAACCCAATTGTTCAATACACAATTCACATCTACGAATGATCGAACGTGGTATATCATTATTCAAATAAGGCCTTATTTCATCACATGCATTCCTGATTCTGTCTATTATCATATCTCTTGTGGTTACGGGAGTCTGATACACTTTTTCTTTTAGAAATCCCCACACAAAAAAATGGAATTAGATCAGGAGATCGTGGAGGCCAGGCGACTGGTCCTCCACGGCCGATCCATCTTTCTGGATAATTTTCGTCCAGCCAGTTTCTAACTATTCTCGAATAATGAGCTGGACAACCATCAAGCTGGAACCAGGCTAATCTTCTTAAATCTAACATAACATCATCCCACATATTTGCATGTTCAGCCTTTAAAAATTCCAAGAAGGTCGCAGCATTTAACCTTGCAGGCAAAAGGTAGGGTCCAAATAGTCGATTACGATAGATACCAATCCACGCGTTCACACTAAATTCATGCTGAAAATTTCTTTCCCGAACTGCATGCGGATTTTCATACGACCAAATATGTTGATTATGAAAATTTACCACTCCACGTCTAGTGAAGCATGACTCATCGGTCCATAAAACGTTACTTAAAAACTCCCTATTATTATCAGTTCTATCAAGAATCCACTGACAAAATGTGATTCTTCGTTCTCCGTCCCCTGGCTGTAGTCCTTGCACAGGTTGCAAATGGTAAGGACGTCTATGGTCATTTCTAAGAACACGGTGAACATGGCTTGCTGAAATTCCCACGGCACCAGAAACTCTCCTAACACTTGTGGTCGGATCTCTATCAAACTCACGCAGAATCATACGGGTAAATCTGCGCTGACGGACATTTATGTTTTGATCCCTTTGGAGATTTCCAAAACCATTTTCAATTATTTGGCGATGCACAAATACTGAGCGAGTTTGATGTCGTCTGTTTGGAAATCTTCGTGCGTATTCTCTGGCTGCTTCTGCTGCGTTTCCATTTACAAATGAATATCCGCTAACTCTTGATTGGAGAATAAAAATGGCATTTTTATAAAACTTACAAAAAAAAACAGGTAAAAGAGACTAAATTTCGTGTATGCACAATTGCAAAAAACGTTTCAGGTTTCAACAGACAACAAAACTAGCTGTCAACTAATTGACGTTTAACCTTATTCTGCTTTCAATTTTAAAAATATTTGCAGGCACAGCCTACTTCTAGAAATTATCGAGATACTGACTTTTTAACGTTATTTTATCATAAATAATAAAAAATGCATCGAACCTTAAAAATCGAAATATATCAGAAACGGCTAACTATAACGAAAATCCACAAGAGAGATTTTTCATGTTGAAAAGTGCGAGGAATCAGTTTTTTTATTCAAAAAGCAAAAAATTGCACTAAGAAAAATTTTTCGGTTATTTCAATACACTACAAGTACAGTAGAGAGCGCCCTCTAGCGGCTACAGTAAAACTATGCCCATGGTTCGTTTTGTCGTACCAAAAAACCCTTTTATACCAATTTTCACTGTTATACATCAAATATTGTTCGAAATATTTAAAAAAACTATTTTAGAAATTAAATTTAAACACCTTGTATTTCGGAAGCCACGCATTTTTCGACCCATGTTTATATAGACTTTATGCATTAATTTTAAAAGTTCTATCGAATCTTAAAGTTATGTAACAATAAACTGAAACACCCTGTACAGAGAAGAATATGCTGGACTACAAAGCATTAGAGTTTGCTAGATAAGAGATGAATTTACGTTTTCCGCCTAGCGCAACTACAGATTGTATGATAAATGACCCAATAACAATTTATTTACAGCTTTCTACTTGAAGTAAATGGACGCACCAAAAAAATGTAAATCAAGACGATCACGCTAAGATAACGAATGTCGAAATGCAGTAAATG